TCTTTAAACTAGGATATTGGTCTTCTCTTGCTTTTAGACTTGGACTTGGACTAGAACTTACATCATTGGTTCTCCTGGTTCTCAGGCCTTCAGACTCAGACTGGAACTACACCACTGGTTCTCCTGGGTATCTAGCTTGCTGACTGAAAATCTTGAACTTCTCAACCTCCACAATTGCCTAAGCAAATAATTCCTTATAGTAAATTTCTTTATATATATCCTGTTGGTTCTGTTTTTCTGGGGAACCCAAACTAATACAAATGGTTATTTGAATGACTGTAGCTTGTAATAAGGCCAGGCCTCAAAGTTACCGAACTGCCAATCCTGGCCAGTTCTATTCCTCTGTTACTTATTGGTGTTTGGCCTGGATCCAACTGTGCCTCAAAGACTGGCCTGTATGATTTTGGACATAAATGGTCATATAGATACTCAAAAATATTTGAGTCAAATGCTTGCGGCCAATAGGAGTACCAATAGTAAGACATTAAGAGGAAATGAATAACAAGCTAAAATGAAAATTAGTCATATATAAGATTCCTTAATTTAGTGGGTAGCTTAACTAGAGAGCTTCTAGAGAGGTAGGAAATTTAAGATTCTAGAAAAGCTAGTGAAGAATTGGAAGTTTCTTGCTTTATCCCTTAATTTCAGGTATTTCAGTAATTTAAATAAACTATATGAGCATTAAGGGACCAAAAAATGATTAGAAAGAATGAAAGACTGTTTGGTAAGTCAATTCCTTAATCAAACAAATGCTAATTTAAAAAATTTTAATTGATCCTATAAAAGATCTTAAGGCTCTCAGTTTTCAGCCTGAGATAGAAAAGTTGTGGGAAAAGAATTTGAGTAAATAAGAATATTAGTATTCATCTGAAAAAGATAAGATTTTAATAAGGCCAGTTCAAGTAAATAAATGATTTTAAGTTGATTTGAAAAACAAAGTTAAGTTAAACTGTATCAAAATCAAGAAATTCTCACTAAATCTGAAGGTCTCCAATAGCTACATAGAATGGGACTAAGGTAATCCTGGGACTTCAGAGAAGATATTGTATAATCAGAAAACAGTTGATGCTAAATAACAACTCTAAAATTAAGGTCTAATTTTGGTGGAATTCTTTCCAAAAACTCAAAATCTCAGTCTAATCATAAGGAAAACATCAGACAAACCTAAATTCAGAGACATTCCACAAAGTATCTGGCTAGTATTCTCAAAACTGTCAAGGTCTTTAAAAAAAAAAAAAAAAAAAAAAAAAAGGAATAATAAGCTGTTATAGACCAGAGGAGACTGGAGAGATGTGACAACTAAATGCAATGTGGTATCCTGGATTGAATCTTGGAACAGAAGGGCTTTAATGAAAACCTGATAAAATCTGAATAATGTCTGGGGTTCATAGTAATCTACCAATGTGGGTTTCTTAATTTTGATAAACTTACCACAGTAATGAGCAATGGCAAAAGCAGGGCAAAACCAAAACTGGTGAAAGATATATGGGAACTCTATACTGTAATATCTTTTTTAATTAAAAAAATTTTTTTTTAAATTTATTTTGAGGGAGGGAGAGAGGGAGAGGGAGAGGGAGGAAGCAGGGGAGGGGCAGAGAGAGAAGGAGAAGGAGAATCCCAAGCAGGCTCCATGCTGTCAGTGTGTCAGAGCCAGACACGGGGCTCAAACGCACAAGCCGTGAAATCATGACCCGAGCTGAAATCAAGAGTTGAATACTTAACCACCTAAGCCACCCAGGTGCACCCTTATACTGCGCTAACCTAGAAACATTCCTGCAAATTTAAAACTATGCCAAAATAAAAAGTTTACTTTAAAAAATTAAGGAAAAAAGTTTCCATTCAGAACTAGAATAGTAGTTCAAAAGTTCATTTTTATAATGATTATGACATAAAAACTAAAATGAATACTATTTGGTCCAGAAAGCCGGAAAACTATGCAAATTAAAAGAATTAAAAAAAAAAAACAAGTCGTTCTTCATAAAACGTAATAAATACATGCAGTAGACAAATAATAAATATATTGCAATGATGGATAATATATATTTATAAATAAAGAACATATTGGTAAATATTGCCAAAGGTTGATTTATCTTTATGTATCATGAAGGAATGGTTGGCAGTCCACATTTAATTATGCTCTATGTGTATGTTTTTAGTTAAGAAAATAAATGATAAAAAATAAATCAAATGTTTGAATTCACGCTATAATTGTTTCTAAGCACTATAAACAGTTTTGGCTTCTCTCAACAATCTTGAATGATTCAAGATTGCATACAGTTGGTAGGACACAAAATGGTAAAAACAGTTGCTCATTTAAAAAGTTTAAGGACTTTTTCCAAATCTAATGTGAAGATAAATGTCAGGTCTCTACATCTACATAGAATGAAATCCTTTGTGACTGAACAATGTGCCAGCCCCAAACAGGAAAAGCCAGATTAAATTGAAAAACCCAGCTTAAAGACATGAGAAGGCTGCTGCTACAACAATGAGTTGACTGGCTAAGATTCTGAAAAAGGGCGATTTGAAGATCTGCAGTCATTTTTTGCCCTGAGTTTTAAAGATTCCAGACCTGGGCAAGGGACTGGGAAGTCAGGCTCTGATTACAAAGAGGGCTTCTGTTGGAGGACAGAGAATTCATCTAAGCTTTTGGTAGTTGTGCAGGGCAGAAGTGACAAAATTGGAGATTTGAGACTTGTTTCTACCTCAAATCACTTGATAAATCCCAAACCTGTACAGGGCTTGAAATTAAAAAGTTAAGGCTCTAAAACCTCTGAAAACCATAATGGAGTTTTCCACAGTCTCACAATGTGAAGAGATAAATACTAGAATATGTGATTCACCAAGAGTAGGGTCCACTGAATACTCGGCTCTGTTTCGGAAACCTCACCAAAAGCACAGAGCTGAACCACAAGTAGATCAAGACTTATCAAAACTTCCACCTAGCCTCCATGGAAGATAGTAAAGCATTTTAGATAATGATAGAAATTAATTGATAGGAAACATTTTATGAAGTAGGAGACAAAAGGGCCAATTGATTAAGTGATAACCTTAAGCAAGCAAGAAAAGATGAGAACTAGTATAGAAATAGGTTATCCTGAAACAGGGGTAGGTACTAAGAAATAAAAGGCAGAGTATATGGGAACAAATGCAGGTAGGCTGGTGGATGAAATGGTGGAGACAAGCAGAAGTTCCTTTTTATATTGGAAAGGTGAGGTTGGATATCTGAGGAGAAAGAAAGGAGGTAAAAAAGTCCTTTACAGTGGAGAGTGAATGGACCACCAAAAGGCAAGAAAAATGCGAGGCAACACCAAGGGCCTACTTAAAGACAAAGGTTATGAATTTAAGGATTAAGGCAAATCTGTGTGACATTCTCCTGCCATATAAAACTATGACAGTGTAGAACAGGGAGAAAGTTAAATTTTTTAAGGCTTAGGCTTTGTTTGGTGAGGACAATGAACCAAAGGAACTGGGGTTATCTTATAAGCAAATTGGTGATAATTAGGTGAGCTGTGGAATTTAAGCTAGATGACCTGGGAAGTGGAAACATGAGAGGCTTGAAGGACAGGAGAATAAGTGGTCAAGTCAACAGAAACAGGTGCCAGTGGAGCTGAAAATCTGCTAGAGTCAGGGTTGTAGACTAAGGGAGCTGCACAGGTAGTAAGTGGTGGTCAGTATGACAGAAATAGAGCAGAATACATGATGAAGAGAGGAGACAAATCCAAGAAGATGAGAGGCCAGAACAGCGAAAGGATCATCTGCAAAGACATTTAAATCACCAAGAATTAAGACAGGAGTGGGCTGAAGAAAAGACATTGAAACAGATCCTAAGACATTCAAGAAATGAGGGAAGCAACACAGGCATGTGTAAATTACTGCAACAGGAGTGCCTACTGGGTGGTACAATCTGATGCATGAGTTTCAAAGCTAGAGGTGTTTAGAGATGAAAAAGGAACAGTGAACACTAATGGGGAACAAGCCTCCAAGCACACTGGTATAACTGCTGTGGGAGGGAATACAATCACTACTGGAGAGGACTGCAGTAGAAGCAGTATCCTCAGGGAGGTAATCAGGTTTCGTTAGAGCAGGAAGGTATAAGTCATGTTCAGAAAAGAATACACTAATAATTTGATTCATTTATCAATGTTTACTAAAAGGCACTGAATTAGGCACTGGGAATAAAACAGTAATAAAGACATAATCTCAGCCCTCACAAAACTGCGACTCAAGTAAGAAGTCTCATATAAAAGTGATTACATTAAAGAATGTAACTAAATTCTTTTTTTTTTTTGGAATATAACTAAAATTTTGTGGCAATCTTATTAAGAAACGTGGATGCATGTACTCGGAGAATTGTGGAACAAAATTTGTGACTATTTTAACATATCTAATCATCACGGTACTAATTATGTGCTAAAAAATAATTTGAATTAAGAATATGTGGGGAAATGTTGCTTTTTAATGGTAAAGAGGGAGGGGAAAATGCTTTTACAGATATATGCAGTTACCTGAGACAAAGCAGCATCCCGTTCTTCTATCACTGCATTCATTTCTTCTGCTGTTATTCTCTTTTTACATTCCTTGGTCTTGTAGATTCTATCCACAATTACAGCTCCATTCTTCTGAATAGCTATCCCTGTGTCTGCATTGTTTATTCTGTTCAGTAATTCCTGTAATGTCTACCAACACCATTATATGTTAGTCAGACATGAAGTTTTAATATATTTTATTTAATATAGGGTTTTAATTAATAGGCACATGTGAATTGTAAATTGACTGAGTGAAGTTATTGAATTTTCATATTGCAGCAAAGATGTACATTATTAGTGTGTCAATTCTTCTTTTTCCCACATCTTAGTTCTTGAAACCCACTCAATTGAACTTAAGCCTCTAAGATATAAGACTGACATCAAGAAATCTCCTCAGAGAATGGCTTACCATGTCATTTTCTTCAGGGTTAATATTTTCTAGCCTAGAAAAAAGGGACACAGAAAGCCTGATCAGTAGCATTTCCTTAGTGCAGCAAAATGAGTTCGCTTTTTAAATCTTTAGAACCTCAAGTAATTTCATTCGACTAGTCTTTAGAGTCAACCATGACACTGAACATATTAAAGTGCCACCTGCTCGACTCCATCTTTCAATAATGCTCCATATCTTCTGCGCTGACTTCAGACTGTTAAGTTATTAATGTTTACTGCTATATATGACTACAAGGATCAATTGTTCATATGTGCTTAGATGAGGAAAGTTCCCTAGTGATAGAAGCACTACTTCTCATCATTATATTTATTCCTGGACTTTCAATTCTTACCAAAAATTGTATTTCCTCTGTTTTTTGGACTTCCTCACAAATAAAGCAAGGCAAGTATTTTTATTGCAAAGTTTAACTATGTTCCCAAAAAAGCAAAGACAAATAATTGCCACTAAATTTGACCTGAAAATCTCTTGTGCTACCTATTTGTTGAAACAAATATATAGAAAGGCTGACCAAAACTGGACCACAGTTTTAGATGACTAATGTTATTTTCTCTTTTTCATTACATATATAGAATTACTGAATTTAAAGACTAAGAAAGTAAATTGGTTCCTCTCATAAATGTGTTTTGTATTAGAAGAGTCACAGTGCTTCCTGAAATGTTTTTTGATGTTAATAAACTGAACAAATGCAGGAAAGGCAAAGAAAGAGCTCTAAATGACATGTTTTAGAAAATGTCTATAATATAATTTAGGCAACCATTAAATTGGGTAAATTAACGAAAATTGGTAATAAGTATTAGTAAAATGATGTAGATTTTAGAAATGGCTCAATTATTTTAAAATTGTATTAAAAAGTTTAGATATAGAAGTTCCTGTTTTTTCATATCCTCCCTCCCCTATTTCTGGGCTCCTATGATTTAACATTTACCACCAAAGAAAAGCATACTTGGAAAAGATAGTACAGAAACTTAACAAATTTATTACAAAATTGTCCCAAACTTCAGAGTTCAATGAAACTGCTACATTCATGGAGAGATATTTAGAACATTGTATTTTTTACAGGAAAAAAATAAACATATATCAAAAAACTATTTCTACACACATTTAAATAGTATAATTTAAAAGGATGGTATGGTATAGTAATTTTGAATTATATACAGTTAATGGGTCTCAAAGTAGTCATGTCCACTTGGATTCACATTTCAGTAAAGACAAATACTTTCACCTTTTATTTTTTTTCTCCCAAAATAACTCAACAGTTTTCAAATATCCTGCTTCATAAAAGCTGGTTCTACATAAACTCTGAAGACAATAATTTCTTTTTTACTCAATTAAAGAACATAGTAAAAAGTGTAAGGTAACAAAATTCTTACACTTTTTTATGATCATGTCAAAGTATCAGAAAGGCATTTAACCATCAGTTATTGGTTGGCTAAGTATCATTTTTAAGGAAACCATATGTAGTGAGAAATATTTACCTTAATATTGTTTTTTTTAGATGAAATCAGGCTAAGTGCTATTTATAGCAGTTTTCAAAGAAGATTCAACTTAAATCTTTATAAATTTCCTAATTAATTTATTAAACTCAAATTTTAAAATGTGAAAAGATACGTGAAAATTAAACATTTATATTACTAGATTACTGGAAGCTCTTGCAAAAAAACAAAATTTAGATCCCAAGGTTATAAATACCCTTCTTTTGTTCCAAAGAACTACATATGATTAGGAAGAAAACAACAGTGTAGGCAGGTTACCTAACTTGTATGTTCAAAATAATTAACACAACAAAGTGTATGGAATGTCTATGTGATACCTGTAAGCTTTTTTTTCAGGCACTGAAAATTATTACTTTAAAGAGAGACAAATGAAGAGTCTGAATGTTTTAAATTAACATCTTTCTAGAGGATACGGTTAAGATAGTTGTATTTAGTCGAATATTAAATTTCCTTGTTAATTAAAATTTTTTAAAAATAAAATTTTCTGATCAAAGGCTATACCAAGTCCTTTCCACATTAATTTAGCATTACAACTATAAGTAATGTGTGTGACTGCCCTTAGAAGTACATAATGTATAGTAATTTATCATTTTGCTGATGAGCGAATCTGAATCATGTTTTGGTTTAAGTGCGCCAGGTCTGACACGCAGGGCATGAGGCTTAGTCAACCACTTAGCATTTATTTGGATCTCAATTTTGCTTTATTATTATCCTTTAATTATCCTCAATTTTGCTCTATGATTATCCTTTGTAAGTACAGTGATAAACAGTCACTAAAGAGACCACTAAGAGAGAAAACTAAAACTTTAACAAAAATGAGCAAAGGGTTAATTTGTGATTTGAAAAATAACATACAGACAAGTAACTTTCAATATAAACATGAGGCTGGAAAGTGAAAAGGCTAATATTTATATTTCTCTGTTTGTATTTCTTTAAAAGTTTCAGGAAGTACTTGTCACAGATATCAAAGATTAACTACATCAAAATTTAATCTCAACTAGATTACTTACAGCAGAGATCTGCAAACTTTCTGTAAAGAGTCATATGGTATTTTAGATTTTGCTGCATGTTCTGTGCTGCAGCTACTAAATGCTACCTATGTAGACAAAGCATCCAAAGATAATATGTAAATGAACAGGTGTGGCTGTGCTCCAATAAAACTTTATTTACAAAACCAACTGAAAGGATGGATGTGCACCATAGGTCCTTACTTTGCTCATCCCTGATGTAGAGCACTGAAAAATGAGACCAGACCTTTGATGTTAAAACTGTAAGTGCCAACTATGACATATTTTTCTCAGCTGGATCATTCAATATCCATTTGAAAACTAACCACCAAAAAGAATGGATTTCAGAAAATAAAATTCAGTCTCATATCACTTACTGTATTACTTAAGAAAACATAAATATTAGACTACCTTTTAGAAAACTACTAAAATTACCTTTTAGAAAAAAGAAGACCATTTGAAACAGGTAAACCAGGCTTTCTATTTTCTATATAAAATTACTTGTCAGAGGTTTAAGGTTTACTAGCAGTATATATAACATAAAGCTTTACTGGTTTAATAAAGACTTAAAGTAATAGTTGATTTTATATAAAATACAGCTAACAAACTATAAATTATTTATCATTAACAGGAGATTTACAATTATACAAAAGAATCTCAACCTTTTGGAAACTAAATTATGCTTACAACAGTCTAACTAGACATAGTCATGATAATTAGTAAGAATTTTGCTGAAGTAAATGTCCATGGGCTCAAGTTTCAATTGATTTCCTATATAGTGCATATTCTGACTGACACCCTTGCACTCTAAGTAAAAAGACCCCTACATGAAATGTCACATTTCTTGATTTATCCCTAGATCAGTCAATATCATGTCTTCTGAACCTATAGTCATTCACCTTGTTCAGTGGGAAGCAGCTAAACTTTAACCTCAAATGATAAAAAGAACTAGTGATCAGCTAATCAAAAACCTCAGAATTTGTTTTTATTCTCTCCCATTTTTACCCAGGGCCACCTTAATATGTTAAAAAAAAAAATACCCTGAAGAGACTGAACACAATATCATGATCTCAAAAGTTGGAATATACATACACAAACATGTCTATATTAGTATGTAAATTTTAGTCATTTTAACTTGAATCCTTTTTACTTTTTTCCTAGTTTTGGATAAAAGTGAAAAAGAAAAAAACACTGAAGATTCAGGGCAGGGGAAAGCAGAAGTGGCAGAATATAAGCCAAGACAGACATCACAGAAAGATAGAAGTAGATCAAAACTGGCAAAGATGAAAGAGAAAAGACAAGGAATTTGAAGACTACAGGAAGCAAGAAATAAGGAGTTAAAACAAAAAGAGATGTGAAATAATGTATATTATTTCAACCTATAACTCACTGCCTCCAAATATGTCTTTCAGTCAAGCAAAGCTCAATTATAAATTGATTCTACCTTAATAAGGATTCCATCTAAAATGCACTATTGAGGGATGCCTGGGTGGCTCAATCGGTTGAGCATCTGTCCTCAGCTCAGGTCATGATCTCACAGCTCATGAGTTCACCCTGCATCAGGCTCTGTGCTGACAGCTCAGAGCCTGGAGCCTGCTTCTGGGTCCCCCTATCTCTCTGCCCCTTTCTGTCTCTTACTCTCTCCCTCCTCTCTCAAAAATAAATAAACATTAAAAAATAAAATAAAATAAATAAAAGGCACGTTTTAAAGTTCAGAACTACAGCCCTCAATTGAGTAGAAAGGAACATCCACAGTGACACTTAAAACTATGCTGACATATATTCTTTTGTTGTTGTACTTCCTTCTTATGTATGATTTTTCTTGGACTATGATACTGTAAGAGCTCACTACAAACTGTGCCTAAGAACCAACAATTATTCATACCAATTAATATTTTAAGTATTTATGAAGTTATTTATTTAATGTCTATCTTCTCAACTAAACTAGAACCATAATGCTGTGTTCTGAGCAACCTGACACATAGTACATATTCAATAAATATTTACTGAATGGACTAAATAATTAAAAGAAAAGGCTTGGGATTGAGTGTTTTCCTTTTTGCCTTCTAATACAAATGCTACAAAGAATAAAGTGAAAAAGGCTCTGCCTCAAGGAATCCTAATTTCAATGTATTATAATAAAAATATATATACAAATTAAAGTAGACAATGAAAGGTAAAAAAAAAAAACATAGGGAAGAAAAATAGGCTCAACTGAGATCCATAAATTAAAGAGAGAAAATGAACAAAACTAAGAGACCAAATTAACAGAGGCTCGGAGGAAGAAGTTTTGATTTAGATATGTGGGCAGATGTTTGTGCCACTGGTCAGGGCAGGGGATTAAGGGAGAATAAGGTTTTAAAAACGAATAAAATTCCATTTGAGATATGCTAAGTTTGAGTTGCCTGTGTAAATCTGAGATAGACAAGTCCTACAATGTGTAACTGACTTTGACTCTTTGGGCAAGTCATCAACCAGTCAGAATTTTTTCA